TGGCAATGGAACGATATATACAATAGGATGAATGTAAAGCTAATGTTCACCCATGTAAACTATCACATAATTCACAATAAAACATTTTTAAAAAAACAAAAAACATACTGCCACTGAGTTTACCAAATCTTCAACAAAAATGCAAGAGCAATGGCCTATAACAAAATATATGTGAACAATGTGCCTCTCTCTTTTTTCTCTCACTTTCCTGAAAATAAAATGAAGGGGTAAACTATAGAAAATGTTTGAAGTTTATTTATAACTTATAATTTATAGTTATAAATTTTGGCAACGTAAATATCAAAGGAAGTAATATGGCAGCATAAATTAAACCATGTATGTTGTTGTTGTTGTTGTTAAGTGCCATCAAGTAGGTTCCGACCCCTAGCGACCCTGTATAGGGTTTCCAAGGAGAGACTGGTGAGCTTGAACCACCAACCTAGCAGTTCAAACAGCTTTGCAATCTGGCGCATTAACCCACAGTGTCACACCAGGACAGCCATACACATTAGTGACCTGTTACTACGGAGGCTGCTTAGCAACATGGAAAATTATGACGTTAGATGAAAAAGGTAAATAAATTACTTGTAGAAATGTAGAACCGTATTTATTAACTATGTCAAAAATGCATGTCAAAAAGTCTTTTATATTCAAAGGAAAAACAATTTAATTTTTGTTTAAACTTTCAACAGTATTGCTTTTTAATTTTTAAAATACATTGACTATAAAAGGAAACCTGGCTACCCCTATGCTCTCCTACAAATACACCTTAAGAGTTAATTTGGGGTGAAACATAGCTATTCATATGCTGTTAACACAATAATATGCTTGTCTCATCTATTTGGATGGGTACCCTCTTCAATCAAGCATGCAGCATTAGGAAGGTTGAAAGGAAACTCATGAACAAGAAAGGGACATGTGCCTAGCAGAATTAACCCTAACATACAGCATATATTGAAACTAATAAAAAGAAGGACTTAAACTCTAGAGATTGGGAGTTAGTTTCTGGGATTGTGTGTATGTGTGTGTGCGTGTGCGTGTATAAGCCAGAAAACAATTCTCAGAAAATCACTTACCCTAAGTAGGTCATGTCATAGTTCTGCTCTATTTCTCTTCCTTACTACTAACTGGCATTGGAATGGGTCCTAACTCTCTCAGCCCATTCATATTTACTTCTACTGTGAGATCTGGAAATTGAAACCATTTTAGATATTTAACTTCTATATAACTTTGTGATTTGGAATGTTTACTGTAATACCCACTGAATGTACTCCCTTTTAA